AAAAAAAAAAAAAAAAAAAAAAAAAAAAAAAAAAAAAAAAAAAAAAAAAAAAAAAAAAAAAAAAAAAAAGGAAAGTAACTCAGCCGTCCACAGTGAAGAACAGTGAGAAGCAGTGTGCTGTGCGGAGACATCGTCAGGGCTGCCTCCCAAGACTCACCACAGCCACCAACATGTGTTCACCTAGCCCTTTGCCACAGACCTTTCCAAGTCCCACCTTGGTTTGGTTTGTTGGTTGTTTTAAATAACAGTTAATGTCCACATTGCTGATTTTCTCATCCACTTTGCTGGCTTTTCCCTCCATGCTGTTAACGCTCTCTTCAGGTTCTGAACTGAATTTATCTCTTGGTTTATGTCCTCTTTGAGGTAACTGGTCACCTCCCTAGTGGGCTTTTGAAATCTTCCTCTGGCGTTCTACCTGTGTCAATATCTTCCAATCGAGCCGCGGTGCAGTTAGGATTATTCCAAGGAGCCATGTCGTTCCGCTTCTTGGTGCTTCCCACATTTCTCTGTTTGTGCGTCTTTTAGCTTGGCTATCTTTTAACTTCTGTGGGGGCGGAGAGCAGGATCTTCATATTAAAGCAGCCTACTCTTGAAGCTTCAATCTCCTTACCACTCAGCGAGGAGAAAACAAACTATTGTAACATCAACCATGCAAGATACAGACATACACTTATAGACATATGCTTACCTACCTCTCACCGCTATTGAGCAGATAACAGAAAACTACTACAGAGTGTGCTGTGAAGTCAAACCTTATTAAAGATAACTGTGGAACTAACAAGCGAATGAGATAAAGAAAGGGGGAAGAAAAGGGAAGAATGTGAGAGGAGCAAGGGTAAATAAAAAAAGGAAAAAGAAGAGGGGGGAAAGATCGGAGATTAGGGGGAAAATAGAAAAAAACTAGGTTTCTCAAAACCAAAATTAGATAAGTGTAAGAAGATGAATAAAAAATAAAAACATGAGAGTGTTTTATAAAAATCAATAAGGTTTAGTTGACATCACTCTTGATCACCTCGCACAGTTCCAACACTCGGAGGAGACAAACATCCCTCCAACCACACTACCAGCCACAGCAGGAGTACAGCTTGGGGATTCCAGCAGAGGTGAGAGAACATGCCCGCCCCAGACTGCAGGGCTAAGTTTGTCTAGCAGAGCACCTGGTGAACTGTGGGCTCTTCCCTTCCCTGGGGTTATACAGTTGCTGGACACATGTCTGATGTAGGACAGACTTGTCTGCACCTTGATGGCTTCCCTTCTTTGTGTACCAGGCGCCTCTGGATGTATGGGCAGTGATCAAAGCACTGAGGTCAGTCCACGTAGAGGACTTGTCTTTGTACCCGCAGGCCTCCTAAGCATTGGTCACCCTGATGGAAGAGTCAGCTGTGGGTATTGATCACACCCTAGAACTAAAGAATTCTTGAGCTTATGAGGGAGATATCTTAGTAGAGGGAGACATCATGTGGATAGGGAGAAACCTGGTATGAGGGAAGGTCCTAAGTCTTTGAAAAAAAGAAATTAAAGAAGAATACTAGCAGTGGTGGAGTGGGTGCCTGAGCTGGCCCCCCCCCGTGATCAGACTGGTGAATGCCCTGTCATCATAGAGCCGTCATCCAGTAACTGGTGGAAACAGATGCAGAGCCACTGCCAAGCACCCAGCCGAGTTCTGAAGTCCAGTCGAAGAGAGGGAAGAGGGATTCTGTGAGCAAGGGGCATCAAGACCATGATGGGGAAACTTACAGATCCAACGGAACCAAGCTAGTGGGAACTTAGAAACTTTGGACCAACAGCTGTGGAGCCTGCATGGGACTGGACTGGGCCCTCTGCCTAGGCGAGACAGTGGTGTAGCTTGGTCTATGTGAGGAGCCCCTGACAGTGGGAATAGGATCTACCCCTGGCTTTAATCTTTGATTCAGTTTAGCTCTTTCTTTCTCATGATCTTTTCTAAACTGAAACATTCAGATTCAAACCATTTGGGGAATTTTCTCTGAGGCAGATTCTAAGATGAGGGCCTCGTAGACTTGGGCCAACAATTCCTCAAGGCAGTTAAGCACAAACACTAACTACAGAAGACGTGTGTGGTTCCACGCTGTGGATTCACACATTCCACCCAGAGCTGGTTAGGTTACTCTGAGAGGGAGCACCAGCTACTCAGGAATGGCCACGCTGTTTCAAAGCCATGTTTTTCTTGATCTGGATCACTTTCAATCCTTTTTATTTTTGTTTTGTTTGTTTGTTTGTTGCTTTTTTCTTTTTGGAGTCGGGATTTCTCTGTGTAGCCCTGACTATCCTGAATCTCGACTTGTAGGCCAGGCTGGCCTTGAACTCAGAGATCTGCCTGCCTCTGCCTCCTGAGTGCTGGAATTAAAGGCATGAGCCACCACCACCTGGCCTCTTTCAGTCCTTATGTTACGGGGATTTCCCTGAGAAACTGGGAAAGGAACTCATCTGTACCCTGAAGCACCGGATTCTCTGGCTCTAGGTCAAAAGCTGTCATGGGTCCATAGTGGCTTAAAGAACGAAATGTCAGCAGATGCAAAAAGGCACAATGAGTCTGCCACCCACCAGGTGTGTTGGCATGGAGGAGTTTATTGATGTTGTTTGTTTAGGCAACTGAATGCTTGTGGGCCCTCCCTGCTTTATAGGACGGGACCGGTATGTTTATTCTAGCAAGATCGAGAGCATTGCAGTCTCCTACATGCTTCTCTTCTCTTGTGCTCTTGGAAAGTGAAACATGTACACAACATAGTCTCTTAATTGTGCCTTATAAACTAGATTCCTTGGAAGATGAATCACTGTTGATTCAAAGAGTTTTCTCACACTTCCTGGTATGATTTTGCCTACTTCAGAAATGTTGTTTGTTAGGTGTTCTTTTGGTTTGGTTTGGTTTGGTTTGGTTTGGTTTGGTTTGGTTTGGTTTGGTTTGGTTTGGTTTGGTTTGGTTTGGTTTGGTTTGGTGTGGTGTGGTTTGGTTTGGTTTGGTGTGGTTTGGTTTGGTTTTTTGAGACAGAGTTTCTGTGTGTAGTGACTCACAGAGATCTGCCTGCCTCTACCTCCTGAATGCTGGGATTAAAAGTGTGTGCCACTGCCGCCACCGCCCCCACCCCCAGCTATTCATTAGTTTTTATGCTTTAGAAATCTTAGGAGGGAGAGAAGGTCCATGAAACAAAGTGACCCAACTTTATTGAAAATAGTGTTAACCAGGTTGGTGGCACATTCTTGCAATCCTAGCACTTGACATGAGTTCTAGGCCAGCCTGGGCTATATAACAAGATCTTGTCTCAAAACAAACAAGCAGGGAGGAGGTGGCACATGCCTTTAATCCCAGCACTCGGGAGGCAGAGCCAGGTGAATCTCTATGAGTTCGAGGCCAGCCTGGTCTACAGAGCGAGATCCAGGACAAGCACCAAAACTACACAGAGAAACCCTATCTCAAAGAAACAAAAACAAAACAAAAAAAACACATAATAAACTGCTTTTTAATGCAATAGGGTTTGTAGTTGGAAGGATTCAAGAAAAACCCTTCTTTGCTCTTACCCTCTTTCCTTCCCTCTTTTCCCTTCTCAGATACCTGAGTAGCTAGTGTGTACTAAGGGAGATCCATGGGTCACAGGAGGGCTTGAATATCTGGGTGATAAGTGCCAACACTGTATTCCAAAACAGGCATCAGTCCGGGGAATGTACCCAAGGCTATGCTCTACTAGTGGGGAAAGGTGTTTTCTAATAGAATTATGGTCATGAACCCACAAGGGCACCACACGCTATCCCCAACCTTGACACTTGAATGCACCCGAGGCCCTACCATATAACTCCTGTTCCTGACACTTGAGAAACACCCTAGTGCTTCCCAGTAACCAGATGCTATTTTCTATTCTCCCGCCAGCATTCTCCCCTCACTCATTATTTTTCCAAATAGTAAGATGACTCTTAGTTCAAACCTGTAGATCAGGGATCCCAAGAGGATATGGAAATGATATGTGTAAAAATGCCACTTTCTGATCATAAAATGTTACACAGATGTAAGGTGTTGTTGATACTGTGTACATCTTCTGGCTAAAGTGGAAGACAAGGGAGACAGAGAGCTTCTCGGGAGTTTAAGGTGGTCTCCTCAGTTTGAGTGTGTGTCCTGATTAGTTTCTCTGTCAACTTGACCCAAGATAGAGTCATCTATGAAGAGGGAATCTTTTTTTTTTTTTCCGGTTTTTCGAGACAGGGTTTCTCTGTGTAGTTTTGGTGCCTGTCCTGTATCTCACTCTGAAGACCAGGCTGGCCTCAAACTCACAGAGATCCACCTGGCTCGGCCTCCCAAGTGCTGGGATTAAAGACATGTGCCACTACCTCTGCCCGTGAAGAAGGAATCTTAATTGAGAAAATGCTTCCATCAGATTGGCTGTAGGGAGGCCTTTTGGGTGTTGTCTTGATTAGTGATTGATGTGGGAGGGCCCAGTCAACTGTGGTGGTGCCATCTCTGTGCAGGTGGTCCTGTGATATATAAGAAAGCAGGGCGAGTAAGCCAGTAAGCAGCACTCCTCCATGGGCTCTGCTTCAGCTCCTGCCTCCAGGTTCCTGACTTCCCTCGGTGATGGGGTGTGACCTAAGAGTTGTGAGCTGAAATGAACCCTTTCCTACCCAAGTTGCTTTTGGTCATGGTGTTTCATCACAGCCATGGAGACCCTGACTAGGACAGAATGGGTCCCTTGCTCTCTGGTGGTTTGACTATATAGGACATCATAAAGGGTGACTCTAACATTCAAAAAAAATTGAGCAAATTTAAAAATGACTAACGTTTTTACTCCCATCTATGACTGTGAGCCATTTTTGTTTGTTTTTGTGTACCCAGATGTGGGTAAACTTGAACTTATGATGCATTATACTTGCTTGATGGATTTACTAGAGTCTTAGAAGTGCTTATTCCTGTTCAATAAAAGCTATAGAAGTGCAGAAAGACATGAACCAAGAAGGCTTGCAGGAACTTATAATCTAAATTAGAGGCCAGCAAAGCCTTTCTGTAAAGAGCCGGTAGTAAACATCTTAGATGTCATCAGTTGGAACTGCTCAATTCTGCCAGCCAAGTGTGGAAGCAGCCACAGACACTTTTGTATTATAATGGCCACTGTGGCAGTGGTGGTCCCTGGAAACTCCCCTGACAAAAATGAGAGGGCAGAGAGTGGCTCAGACCTTAAGAGGGCTTGCTCTTGAGGTCTTGCTGAAGACCCCAAGTCTGGTTCACAGCACCCGTGTTGAGCAATTCACAACCTGTAACTCCAGCTCCAGGGGATCCAGTGCCCTCTTCGGGCCTCTAGGGGCACTTGCACACATGTACACAGGCATGTGCATGTCACACACGAGCACACACACACAAATAAATAACCAGTAATTCTGTCAATTTTCTGTGTTCTCCAAACCTCGGTCTAGCTGCCAGAGCCACACAATTACTTGAAATGATTGCTGCTTAATTCTCCAGCAAACATCTGGACAGATGGTGGTTACCTCACACAGGGGATAGATAGTCCCTCTGAGTCTTGTTTTTAAAATAGATGCTATCTTGGAAATCATCCAAGAACAGACTCTTGTGAAATCACTGACAGTAACCTGGAGCAGTCCTTGATTTAGGTTGGGAATTATCAGCCTTAGGAATAGAGAAAAGCCAGTTGAGATTGGTGGGAAAAACCTGCGTCAATAGTTTATTAGAGCTCTTCCCCTTCCTCCTCGGGCGTGCATGTCCACCTGACCCGGTTTCTAGTCTTCTCACAAGACTTTCACAATCAAGCGATTCCTGGCCAAGAAACAAAAGGAAAGCTGTCCTGTTCCTCAGTGGATTCAGATGAAACCTGGTAACAAAATCAGGTACAACTCTAAGAGAAGACACTGGAGGAGAACAAAGCTGGGTCTGTAAGGATTCACACAGTGGCAAGACTGTTTATACTGAATTGTGGTCATCGATCAATCCTACCACATGGAGTTCAACATTTTTAACCTGGAGACTCGGTCATGTTTAAGTTAGGGAAGTGGTTTATCCAGTAATAAAATGTAGAACCTTTCAAAAAAAATAGTTTATTGGCTTACATGACAAGTTTTATTCTTTCCCAGGATTCCACCTTCTATGGTTGCTGCTCAAAAATCCTTATTTAAACTTCCCAGAGGAGCCCATTAGGAGTTTTCAACCATTTTTATTGGCTGCTCTTTCTGGTTAAGATGGGGCGGATGGCAATTTTGGAAAATAGAGGAGAGACTATAAACCCTTGTGATTCAGTTAGTGGGAGATGACACTGAGACCGTGTATTGCCCCCACTGTGTTTCTGGCTACGTTACCTTGGCAGGTCCTTGCTTGTCTTCCTGTCTGCCATTGCATCAGAAGCGTCCCTGCTGTGTCTTAAAGGGGAAATGGCATGCTGTAACATGGAGGTGCATCATGACTGCCTACATGGGTTTAGTTGTCTGCAGATTTTGTGGTAAGAACCAATGCTGCCATAGGCACCACTCCAAATAAGCGGCATGTTCTTCAGTGATTTCCTCAGAATCGTTTTCCAGAAGTAGAGATGTAGGGCGTTGTGCTAGCATGGTGGCACTTAGTAAGTACGGACAAATCACTAAACTAAAAGTCTGTAACCATCAGTGTCCTTCAGCAGGACTGAAGACTTAAGACAGGGGCAATTTGTAAAATTACATCCTGTTGTTTTAGAGTAAATATTCCCTTCCTCTCTTTAATGTTTTTAACTGCGTGTGTGTGTGTGTGTGTGTGTGTGTGTGTGTGTGTGTGTGTGTGTGTGTGTGTGTGTATGCCCATGGAGGCCAGAGGGGGAATCAAATACGCTGGAACTGGAGCATGGGTGCTGGGGGACTGGAGTTACAGGCCAGTGAGTAGCCAGCGTGGGTGGAGCCCAGCTCAGGCCTCTGCAAGAACAAGTGCTCTTAAGAACCAACCAGCTCGCCAGCTCGCCAGCTCTTCTCTTTCCTTTGATTTGGTGACTAGAGGAAAAGGCTTCACTTGCAGTATTTCTGCAAAGGGGAGCCTAAATGCTTTCTTCTTTTACAGGAAATTAGCTTCACAACTAAAATTATTTTTACTCTTGTCAGTGAAAATTAATCTCTGCAGCTAGGAAATGCCAATGTAGTCATCAACATTAAACAATATGACAAATGAAAAATTGTAGTGCAACTTGTTTCCTTTTTAATGTTATCAATTGCTTGTTTTGGAAGCATTTTCATATGCCTGGTGTTACCTTGTTCATAAAAAACAAATTTAAGCCAAAGGTGGTGGCATACACCTACAATTCTAGTTCCTGGGAGGTAGAGGCAAGAAGATCAGGCATTCAAATCCAGCCTCAGCTACAGAGTGAGCTCAAGGCTAGCCTGGACTACACAATACCCTATCTCAAAAAGAAAATAATAATAATAATTTATTTTTCAATTATTGGCTATATTTAAACATATTTGTTATAAAACCCATGTGCGAATATTTTTAGCGAGGAAAATGAAAGCAGAGCCGTTCTGCTAGCTTGTTCTGCCAGCTTGTGCTGATTTTCACACACATTGTAAAAGTCCCTGCCTTATCTTCAGAGTAGAACTAAGACTCCACTGTATGTGCAGATGGTTGACTCACAGTCCCCATTCTACCGAGGAGATAACACTCCCTCATTTACAATCCTGTTCAACAAAATAAATATTTTCATGGGACAGAATGTTTGTGGTTTGGTGATTCAACTCTCTCCCTGAGCTGGAAACCTGGGTTCCCAACTAACCAGTGGCGCAAGAAAAGACTTGTTTTATATCATCCCCACTAAAGCTATAAATAAATAAAGGCATTTATTGAACATGAGTTATGGGGATAGAAAAATGTTTGAATCTTTGCTCTCTAAAAGCCTATAATTGACCTTAGAAATATGAACACTTGATAACCAACACTAAACCACAGGAAGTTGCCAACTTATCTACAAAACTGTATTTCATAACGGCCCCCTCCTGGTTGAAAACCAGGCCCATCACCTGCCTGTACATGTCCTTCAGTTCTTGCTCGGTGAAGAGACTAGTGCCTTTGAGCTCAGGCTGGGGTGAGTGGGGGTCACCTGCCTTCCCCGATCTGTGCTGTGCGTTTGCCTCTCCAATCCACTTCCCTCCCCTCCAGAACATGTCCTCATCTTATTGGAGATTCTTTCCATTCTGCCTTCCTAGTCTTACCCAAGGAATTCTTCTCCCTTCTCCAACTCTCTTTCACTTCTTTTTTAAAATTATTTTTATTTTTAGAATGTATTTTATGTGTATGGATTTGAACCACATGAGTGCTTGGGAGTTGGTCATGAGCCACCCTGTGAGTGCTGGGAATTGAACCCAGGTCCTTTGCAAGAGCAACAAGTCAAGTGCTCTTGCTCTTTTTGTTTGCATTCTTCACTTCCCCTTCCATTCCACTGTAGCCCCTCATCACTCTGGGGGTGTCTGTAAGGCCCAAGGTTACGGCTGGTGGCGCCTCTGTGTGAAGAGGAGAAGGTCAGAGGCTTCTGATAGGGAGGAAAGCCCCGCACAGTTACATTCTGAAAAGGTCTCCGGCCACCAACCCTTCCTGATTGACCCTGATTTGTTTTTTCAATAGTCTCTTTTCCACATAAAATAACAACCTACTCTTGCAGAAAACAAACACTTTCTCAGAGTATTTTATTGCTTTTTTTTTTGTTCTTTTTAAAAGCAACATTGGCGCAAGTCTGTGATTCATAATGACATTCTTTTTCTTTTTGTCCCTATGGTTTAATATTTCAGAGCATTACCTAGAGATCAAGTCACTGTTCTTACACTGTATCTAAAGTGGAATAAATCAATTACCTTCCAAATTTTTTGGCACACAACTCCAGTGTGCATTAGGATTTCCTTTCAAAGCAGATGGCTAACAGGTAGGGAAGCACAAGGCTCCTTGTAATCAGGAACTTGAAGGAGCAACTTTACAAGTTAGATTTGCTGGCATTTGATAATCAAAGATCCCAAAGGGAGAGGGGGACATTAACAGGAAACCCAAGCAAAGACATGGGCAAACCGTATAGAAGGGAAGGGCAAACAGGTCTTTATGACCACAAATGGAGTCTGGGACTGAGGGCCAAGTAATGGTTAATGGAGCTAGCTTGCAAAGAACCTAAGTTTGAATTCCAATACCCCCAAAAGTCTGGATGTGGCCCCGTGGGTCTATAACTGTACTGCTGTGAGGGATAAAGACAGCAGGATTGCTGGGACTTACTGGCTGCCAGATAACTCCATCTTCAGTGGGATTCCTGTCTCAGGGGGATACGGTGGATAGACCAGGGCACCTAATGTTTTCCTCTCATTTCTGCATTTGTACCCACAAGCACATGTACCCCCATACATGTGGATGGCACACACACACATACACCACGGACACATACAAATCAATTTTTAAAGAAGTCTTAAGTTTGGGGAAAAGATTGGTGAGCTTGGAGCTCTACTGAAGGCCCCTCAGGATGCGGACTCTGAACCTGATCCGATCACACAAACAGCATCTCTCAAAGGACAGCTGTATTAAACTATATGGAAAGTGGGGACACTGTGGCATTCTTTTCTTGCCTCTGCGCCTGAGAAGGTTCCTCTTCCTGAGATATGAGACGATAGCTATCAGCCTATCTCAAATGGACCTCCCCAGCTCTATCTCCTTCAGACAGCAAATCAGGATCCCTAGTGTAGCCTTATTGGTTTTTAATTAGATACATTTTTAATTAGAGTTTTCTTTTGTAACATTAGCATCAATTAAAGACACTAATTGGACTCATTCATTATGAATATGATGGCAATCCTAGTCACTGTGAAAGCATGTATCTAGGAGGCCCTTAAGCAACTCTGGTCTCTTGTGGAATTGACCCACCTGGTGCAGATGGATGGGAGAAGCCAAAGGTGTGATTCAGGCAATTGTGAATTATGTATTAATTCCTGGCCATTTTATACTGTTGAACAACCATGCAGGACTTAGAAATTGGGCAAGTTGGGCATGTTGAGATAACAGGAAACTAATATAAAAACTAACTTCTAGCATTGAGGTGTAGTGCTATTTACCTTCAGTCCCAGGACTCTCAGGAGGCAGAGGCAGGAGGATTGCCACATAGCAAGTTCCAGGCCAGCTGCAGCTACATACCAAGATCTTGTCTCAAAAAACAAACAGCAAATGCCTACCTCTAACCCCTATAAGCTTTAAAAATTAAAGATAGTGAAACCAACCCTTCTATTTTAAAATTATTTATGAAAACTTTGCTGTAAGTCTTACTATGTATGAGAATAGTTCGGGTGTCTTTGGGGGGGTCTTTTTAAGGGGGGGTCACCTTACTCCTCTGTCTAGGCCCTTGCCTCAACCTCCCTGGTGCTGGGATTATAGGAATGAGCCCATCATACCTGGAGGCTAGACATCTGATAACATTAAGGACTCCTTTCTCGCAGGTTTTTAAAGGATTTACAGAACTACGTGTACAAGGTAGCCTCTAAACCTCTGATGCATAGCGGGGGGGGGGGGGAGTTGAGGATTTGATTTGTGAGACACAGAGAGTTTGGGAAGTATAGCAAATGCTGAAATATTTTGTTTTGATACGGTAGATGGTTACCACAATTTCAGTTGAAACTTTATTTGTAGAAATGCCTCCGAGGTAGTAGTGTTTACAGACACGCATGTATAATCAGGGCATAGGGCTGGTGAAAATGACTTGTGAGGTCTGGAAGGCTGAGTGCGTGTGAGCGATGTGCCAAGCACTTCGGGAGCTTTGGAGGTTCCGAGATTCTTATTAATTGCCATTGATATGGGTCGTCTTGGACTAGTGAGCTAAGGTGGAGCAAAGGTAAGAAAAACAGGCAGATGGTACATATTAAACATGCTATAAAGTCAACTTCAATGCCATGACATCACGGTGCACTTCTGGAAAATAATATCGGATGGAGCAGCTCGACATGGAGCTCCTGTGGTTGGACAGAGGGGCTTTTGAGCCAAAGCTTTACACTGACAGTGTTAGGGACTCGGCATAGGAACTGGAAGCAGCTGCCGAATCATGCATCCACCCACCT